GGGCGCGAGCGCGCACTAAGCGCGGGCGCGGGAGCCAGAGCCAGTTGGCACGCCAGCGCCCCCTGCCGTCCAGAGGTGCCGCAACGCCCATGCACCGGCGGGTAGCCCCCTCTAATGCAACCCCAGAGGGTCCCCGTCAGCTCACTGATGGGGGTGCCCTGGAGGAAAGCAAGGATGCAAAGAGGCCGCGGGAAGGTGGACCACTGCTTCAGTGCTATATAAACAAGTACCAGCAGCTAGAAAGAAATGCGTGAAGCAGCCTGACCCTACTAGGCGGGAGCTGGGAATATTCCTCACCTGGGCATCTAGGACCCTGAGATGGAGTCCGGCCATGTAAATTGGAGCCTCTGGGCTTGCCAGGACCTGCTTGATGATCCTGCCCGTGAATACTTGACGATGAAGACTGTAAGCCCATGGACAAGCATCACCTTTTCACCCTCACACCTGGATGCAGATGGATGGAGAAGAGGCCTCAACCTGCAGCCTGAGGCTGAGGCTGAGGCTCCGCACACCTATGGGAAGCAGGCCGACATTGCAATTCTTTCTCTTAGAACCTGAGATCCACCACTGGATGGGGATCTCCATTAAAGTTTTTGTCTTCGCACTCCCTCAGGTAGTTCCTGGAAGTTCATGTCTTAAATCCACGGTGAAAGTGCAGACATGAACGAAGCCTGTGAGTATGTATGATGGCTAAAATGAAAAGCCCCCACACGGAAGTGTTTTGAATATTTGGATTCCCCAGCTGGTAGGGATATTTTGGAAGGTTCTGGGAATGCCAGAGGGTGAGACTTAACTATGGAAGTCCCTTGGGGGGGACACAACACACAAACACTCCAATACACACTCCCTCTACTCAGATGTTCGGTGAAGCATTTGGACCCAAGTAACCGTGGACTGTACCGTTTGGCTGGGGAAATGGAGAGACTTCATCAGCTAACTTGATTTTTCTGGTCACCCCCCTCCCGCTCCGCAATAGGATTTTAAAGCTCGGTACAGTCTCTCTTTGGCTGGTACATTCTCATCTGGGTGTGCACGCTTGTGCTTACACACGTGTCTATGGGTATGCATGCACACCAAAGGTCAATACTGGGGTGTCCACCTCTATCTTTCTCTTCCTTATATTCTGAACCTGAAACCCTCTAATTCAGCGATACTGGTTGGCCAGCAAACTCCAGGAGCCCTCGTATTTCCATGCTCAACCCACACTACCCAGGGCTAGGGCATTCACCTCACCTGTATTTTTAAATGGATGCTGGACATGGAACTTGCGTCTTCAGGCCTGGGTGACAAGCACTGTACTGAATGAGCTGTCCTGAGCCCCTACGCCCACATCCTCACCAGTTATTGTGTGGAATGTCTCTAGTCTTCAAAACCATGCGCTTGGTGGATGAGGTGTCTCATATACGCAAGCCTAGCATTTCTGAGCTCTGCTCTGAGGCAGAAGGGTCCCACGCTCAAGGCCAGCCTGGACTAGAGAGGGAGACCCTATGTCGAATAAGCCAAAGTCAGATTAAACAAAACAAGGACCCGCGCTGGCCTCCCGGCGCCTTGGTCCGTGCCAGACTCTGTATAAACGCCATTGTCCGAGAAAGCTCGCAGTGTGAAGGATCCTAACAAGGGCACTTTGTTGTTCCGGCCTCTCACTGGAAGATGGAAATAGTTTTGCCTGAAGGCCTGAGCTCTGAGAGAAATGTGTTCACACCTCCCCAGGCCTGGCTGCCGAGCAAAGTTATGAATGAAGGATTGAGAGGTTTTGCTGGGGAGGTTGGAAGCTCCCAGCAAGGAGAAGCAGGTGTACTGGGGGTGTTCTGTGCTGTCCGTGACATGAGGGATTAGAAACACATTGCCTGTGAACGTCTGGGGGGAGGTGGAAAACCCACCATCATGAATGGCGCTAAGGACACCGACCAGTGCTTATGTGGTCACTGTGCATCCTCCCTCCCGTGACCTGATGTGGGCTAATGAAACTATGGCTGGAGAGATGGAGTGAGGCTGCCGCACAGGTACTGAAATCAGGGTTTGCAGCCGACTGTGTGTGTGTGCAGCGCATTTCCAGTTTTCTCTGTGAAACCTGTTGAATCTGCCAATGCTTTCTGAATCCCTGGATCTCCAAATATGTATATATGTATTTTGTTTTTAATGTGGATTATGGTACTTACCATGCTGCCTGTGCTGGGTATTGACTCCGAAGCTTAGATCACTAGTCTACAAACTCTTTCCATGAAGTCCCACACAGAGCCCGAGCGTAAAACGTGCTCCATAATGAATGAAGCCGGCTCCTCTGAGTTCTCAGCAGCTAATGCCGTTCTACCCAGAAAGCTGCCTGGCTCTTCAGGCCATTCCACCCTCACAGTGACTCTTCGGTCCAGCCCCTTGCCAGGGGAAGACTGACCATCTCCTCTCAAGGTGTTCACGTTGGGCATATTTGAAAGACCTTGCTGTTAGGGTCTGTGGATCACTGGGTAGGTACCTTAGGATCACTCTCAGTGGGCAATGGATGCCTGGGGAGGGGGAGGGGGAGGGGGCCAGAGCGCCAGTGCCTATGAAAATGGTTTAGAGGCCGAAGCAATGGAAACCCATTGTGAAGCTTTCTCCCAGACACAATTGAAGGAAGTTTAAAGCTGCAGCTTACAGTTAAAAGGAGAAAAAAAAAAAAAAGAACAAAATGGACAATGCAATTTGTTTAAACTTCTGGTTGCACATTCTAAGTATAGAATTCACATTCTTTCGATTTGTTTCTTTCTTCTTTTGAAACAGTCTAACCCTGCACTGGAACTCACAATCTAACCCAGGCTTCTCTCAAACATGTGCCCTCCTGCGTCAGCTTAATGATATTTTTATTTAAGCTGACTCTCAGTATCTAGAGGGAAGCGAAGCGTTGGGCATCGTTTCCTCTTTCAGCTTCTCCTCAGGGAAACCCAGGATCCCGAGGGACTTTGTGCTTTTGGAGGCAGGGGGTACCATCTCCCACCCTCGGCCCATCTGGGCCTGTTAGTCTCATTCTGAAAGGCACTCAGAAGCAAGGGCACAGTGTGCTTTTCTGTGGGATGCAGTTTCAGGTGACACAAACAGCATACCCCAGGGGTACAAAGCCTCAGGAAGAATGGAAGTTCCTGAGACTCTCGGGCCACACCCACACCTGCCTCAGAGCCTGCCTCTTGCTCAGCTTTGACATCTCAGGAAAAGCTATCTGTGGTGCCACATGCACATAAGGCAGAGATACTGTCCTCCAAGTAGAGGACGTTGGAGAAAGTATGAGTAGAGTGGCCATCTCTCTGTGGCAATCCTTTAGCCACACTGCCACGGATGCATCTGTGTCCACCCTGGCCCTGAAGAAATTTGTGTAATACCTCAAAGTATGAGCATTTGGCAGAGAGGGTGACGGCAGGCAGGTGGCACTGGTTAAAGGGCAGTCAGGGCAGAGTAGGCTGGGTCCTTGTCCATTATGACCGCTGTCCTTCGGAAATGGGGAAATCCAGAATACGAGTTCACACTTCCTCAGGGCTGGCGCTGTGCACTGGGGATGGGAGAGCCTTCTGCAAACCAGGACATTTCGAAGATGAGGTGGGTAAATTATCAGAGGACAGAGAGGGCCCGGAGCTTGTGCCTCGGTAGCCAGCCCCGCCCACATCTGCAGCTCACACTTCCAACCCCTAGCATAGCAAACCCTGTGTCAATTTGCCTGGGCTACTGGATGTCTGTGGAGCTGTGGGAGAGACTGGCCCTGGAACCAGTGGACTAGATAAAGAAGGCCCACCCCTCCTAGGAGCATGGTCCAACCCACTGAAGGCTGAAAGGGGATGGAAGGTAAGCACCAGACAGTTTGCTCTCTGCTGGCATGGACCTCCCATCTTCTCCTGCCCTTTGAACTTCAGAGTCCAGGAGTCACTCTGGCCTGTTCCCCATTATCCATGTAACTCTATCCTGCTTCTCCAGCCCGTGGGCTCAGACTGAATCTCAAAGGCAGCTTCTAAGGCATCTTGCTTGCCCACAGAGATCTTAGGAGCCCTGCTCTTCATAGTCATCAGAGCCAATTCTAATGTACACACTAGATCTTGGACTTCTATATGATATAATTATATAGATACAAACGGACTTTATTCTATATGTGGATATAAATGTATAGAATATTTTTCTAGTGATTTTGTTTCTATGGAAAATCCAGTCTAGCTAATAGACTTGCCTCCAAACTGTAAGACGATAAATTTTGTCCTTTTTAGACACCAATTTACCCAGCAAGCTAAGGCGAGCACCTGGAACATGCCCACGTGTAACTAAAATTTAGGGGGAAAGTGTGATAATAAAAATAAAAGTGTCTCCCAAAGGCAGGAAAATAAATGAAACTTAGTGAAAAGGTTGAGCTGTTAATGAAAACAAGGCCTTTCTATTTCTGGTTTTCTTCCAGAATGGAGGCGTGGTGTATCTTATTCATTGCCATTCTCAGTACCGACAGGGAAAGTTCCAGACATTCAATACATATTTGTCAAAGGAAGTTAAGTGGGGGCTGGCGATGTAGTTCAGTTGGTAGAGTGCTTGTCTACCATGCTCAGATGCCCAGAACTGTATAAACCAGAAGTGGTTGGGAGGTAAAGGCAGAAGGATCAGAAGTTCAAGGTCACCCTTGGTTAGACAGCCTAGGCTATGTGAGATCCTGTTTAGAAAAGTCTATGGATCCTGCCTTCCCTAGCTCTGTGTGTGTCTCAAAACCAAATGCTGTAGAATGTAGTTAGAGCCAAAATATAAAACAGAGACACCTCTGCTCAGGCTTTTCATCACTCATATGAAAGCCTGAGGCACAAAGCAGCCTAGGCCGGTTCTGAGATTTCTGCCAGGCAGTGGCATCAGCATACTGCTACCCAAGGTTCTTGGCTTGTTCAGCCATCTTTTCGCTCT